GTTGCCCAGGCAGGTCTCAAACCCGTGGGCTCAGGCAGTTCACTCACCTCGGCCTCCCAAGGCACGGGATTACAGGCTGAGCCACCAAGCCCAGCTTCTTTAAATTAAAAAAAAATAATTTGCAGAGTGTGCTTTTTTTCATGGAGGAACTATTTATAATAGGAGAATAGGAATAATATTTTCCTATTATTTTTAATTAACATGCAATAATTGTACAAATGTATGGAATACAGAGTGGTATTTTTTTTTTTTTTGAGTTGGAGTCTCACTCTTGCCCTGCTGCAGTGGCATGCTCACGGCCACTGCAACCTCGACCTGCTGGGCTCATGCGATCCTTTTGCCTCAGCCTTCCAAGTAGCTGGAACAACAGACACATGCCACCACATCCGGCTAGTTTTTGTGATTTGTTGTAGAGACAAGGTCTCACCAAATTGCCCAGGCTGCTCTTGAACCCCTGGGCTCAGGCAATCCTCTTGCTTCGGCCTCCCAAAGTACTGGGGTTACAGGCCGAGCCACCACCACGCCTGGCCTACAGAGTGGTATTTGGATACATGTATACAATGTAGAATGATCAAATCAAGGTACTCAGCATATCCATCACCTCAAGCACTTATTGCTTGTGGTGTGAACATTCAAACTCTTCTAGTTTTTTGAAAATATACAAAAATTAGACCAGGCGTGGTGGCTCACACCTATAATCCCAGCATTTTGGGAGGCCGGGGTGAGAGGGCTGCCTGAGCCCATGGATTTGAGACCAGCCTGGGCAACTTGGCAAGGCCTCATCTCTACAATAAATAAAGAAATTAGCCAGGTATAGTGGTGTGCCTATAGTTTCAGTGACTTGAAGGCTGAGGTGGAAGGATCGCCTGAGCCCAGCAGGTTGAGGCTGCGGTGGTCATGAGTGTGCCACTGTACTCCAGCCTGTATGACAGTGAGACTCCGACTCAAAAAAAAAAGAAAATATACAAAAATTATTGTTATCCATATTTACCCTGCAGTACTATGGAGGATCACTAGAACTCATTCTTCCTATCTGGCTGGAATTTTGTAGCTATTAACCATCCTCTCCCCTGCTACCCTTCCCAGCCTCTAATCACAATTCAGAGTATAGCAATTTTATTTCACCTTTTTTTTTTTGTTTTGGGTCGGAGTCTCACTCTGTCATCCAGACTGGAGTGTAGTGGCATGCTCACAGGCACCCCAGCATCAACCTCCTTGGTTCAGACGATCCTTCTACCTTAGCCTCTCAAATAGCTGAGGCTACAGTTGTGCGTCACTATGTATGGCTAATTCTTTTTTTTGAGTTGGAATCTCACCTGTCATTTGGGCTAGAGTGCAGTGGCACACCCACAGCCACCACAGCCAAGACCTGCTGGGCTCCGGCGATTCTTCCGCCTCAGCCTCCCCAGTAGCTGGAACTACAGGCCCGTGCCACCGAGCCTGGCTAGTTTTTTGATTTATTGTAGAGACGAAGTCTCACCCAGTTGCCCAGGCTGGAACCCCTGGACTCAGGAAATCCTCTTGCTGCAGCCTCCTAAAGTGTTGGGATTACAGGCTTGAGCCACCATGCCCGGTTACCTTTTTTT